GTCAGAATGCCAAGGTCAGTCACGCGACACAAGCAAAGAAGGGGGTTCAGCAGCTCTCGCCACGTCGAATAGACCGCAACTTCAGTGCATACCTCACATTTAAAGATCCGACGTGCTTGAATCTCTCTCACGACTCGCTGAAGTCATGACTTGGAAGACTCTCAACTGAGAGGGCCACGCTGTCCTCTCAGGACAGAGAGTCACACTCAGTGGTTCCTCGTCAATTTGGCCTTTCTGGCGCTCGCACTCAGATGGGACCCAAGCCGCCCTCTCCGTTTACCTGTGAAAACCTGCTGCACATCTGTAAGACCAGGTCGTGCGTGGCACGTGTAGGCAGACTCTTTAGTCATTTCGGCCACTGCGTCCCAGCCCACCTTCGGCAGCCCAGACATTGCCTTTTCATCCAGCCCAAATGGACAAACCAGGAAATAGTGCGCCAGATTCGTCGCAAGTCCGTTATCCCTAAGATTTACTCTCAGGTCACAGCCCTGTGTCCACCATGCTGTGGCGCACACTGTAGACATCGTCGTTTGCGACGGCCGAACTGTCAGCATTCGTGTATGTGTGTCTATCCAGTCGTCTCCAGAGAGGACGTCTCGTTTTTTCGAGGCCGTTTCCCCCGGGCCACAGCTGCGCCAGATCTGCTGAACGATTTCAGAAGTTGTTAAATGTGACAGTGAACTTCTCAGTCTCATCACATGGGGCTCACTGATAACTGGTTAGCACACAAAACGAGATCCGAGGAAAGTGAAATGACGGGCGATTGCTCCAGTTGTGAGAGGGCGATCATCAAAATTCGTGTCGTATTTTTTGTACCTTGAACGCTGAGGTTGAGGTCATCTCTGTCAGTATGACGGATGGCACTACTTATATGAGTAGAATAATAATCAGGCACCGGAACAATTTTATTATTCTGAGCATCCGAACTAATACAGGAGTCCGTTGTCGGAGACCACGGAAGTAACGAATCAAGCGGTAGTTATGACCTATTGCGCAATCAAAGACCGGTGTAGCATGTCTCCGGTGATTTTGTAACACTGCATTCCGAGGCTAGTTCGATATATGGATTGGCTGAGCCCTCATCCGAGGGCCAGGCTTCAATCGATTCTCGGCTTGTCTTGCTTCCGGTGTGGATAATTATCTGCTCACGTGAAATAGTAGTAGTGTGTGAAGGAGATGGAGCGAGAGAGAGAGAGAGAGAGAGAGAGAGAGAGAGCAGGATTGATATAATGAAGCCAACAAAACCAAGCTTCAAAAAGGCACGTAGCACAAAAAACAACCCTTGAATTACGAATAGTTGCATTAAAAGTGGAACGAGAGATACGCAAGTATCCGCAGACCATGAAAGGGTATAAAACCTGTTCTATGGAATAGGACCTCGATAGACCAAAGCACTTTTCGTTTGTATTAACAGTAGGTTAAAGAACAAAGAGACGATCTTTGCAATAAAAGGAGAAAATAATGAGGACATTGCCGAAAATAATTATAATCGGAACACGTAAGCCACTTTTTACGTCTGTGTACACAAATGAAAGGATCTTAACCAGGCTGACTTCTGTACTGGGTGAAATGGCGCATTAATATGAAGCATAAATTTCATAAAAAATGTCAGGAAGGAAGTTTTTTCGCTTAGGTAATACAAATCTCCGTGTCTGGATTAAATATGGACAAAATTACTAAATGCGCTTGCTTACGAACTCTTCAAACCACTTTCGCATATTTTTGAGTCGTCCTTTGGTCGAGGTCTTCTCAATTGTGATCTGAGAGAGGCGAATGTGGCCCGATGAAGGCGAGGACAATACAGGATTAAACAGGTTACCTAGAATGGCCCTTTGGTCAGGTAAACACTGAACATAACTGTTGAGCACCATATCAAGCACGTGCATATGAATAAAGTAAGAAAGAGTCTCGAAACGTATAAAATCTACTGTTGCATAAATGAGGGGGTAGAAATGCACGAGTGAGATATGACGATACGGCGGAACAGTGAAGTGGTGTACAAATTACCAATCTGGAGTGGTGGCCTTATCATACCTATAAGACATCGGTTGAGATTTCAGCCCTATAGAAGCGAAAAGACGATTCCCAGGAGACAGTCGTGAAGAGTGTGACACGATCGCTGGGCCAAGAGTTTTATTAGCCTGACGTTTCGAATTCCTGTTCGAACCCATCATCAGTGACAAAAATTTTTGCCTCTGATGATGGGTTCGATAAGGAATCCGAAAGATCAGGCTAATAAAGCTCTTGTCCCAAAGATCGTGTCCCCACCATCACATTTCAGCCCAGTTGAAAATTCCAGGGAAGAGTTTTATAGTAAGCTGGCATTAGAAGGTGCGCTCGAGGAACGGCGAACGAGAATGGGAAGAGGTGTTTACAGTAGGGAGAGAGGCAACTCCAGTCATCTTTGCTGACACGCGATCACATCATTCCAATTGGGTATAGGCGCTAAAGCAACGTCTGCCAGTTAGAAAAAGTTCGTCCATTCCGTTGGCGTTGAAGTCTAACAAACGTACCAAAGATCCGCGTAAAGTGTTTGGGAAGAAAGAATAGACAACCTCGACTAATCCTGTGCATGGTGTTTACTGTCTCTTTTGACGGCTCTCTTACAACGCTCCGAGGGTCTCGGCTTTTAACATGTCGAAATATCTCGATCGTTGTGTGTATGCGTTTCAGACGGTTTAACCCCATTTTTACGGTACTGATGTATTGTAAAACGTCTCCGACCAGTTTCCCAGGGCATGACTACACATTTGGGCACATTAGAAGACCCTTCAGCCAGTTTATAAACGTTTTCTTGCATTTTCTGCGCGTCGTCAGTACAGTTGATTGTTTTCTATATTTTTATATCATTTGCAAACCTGATGCTGACATTAAAGATTATATAGATGAGGAAGAGGAGAGTACCCACAACCGAACCCTGTAAAACACCGCTTTATACTGGTGTCCGTTCGGATAAAGTGTTACCAACAAGTACTCTTTATAATTTGCTGACAGGAAACTTTTAACGTACTTAGCACTGTACTTTGGATTCCACCTCGACAAATCTCTTGTAGTATCGAAGAAGATAAAATCCACTTGACGACCCTGGTTCCTGGCGTCCGTCTACTCTTACTGCAGGTAATGACTACTCGTTAGACATGACTGAACACGATTTAATCCGTGCCAGTGACAAGTTTCTCTGCTCCAGATGCGTCACTAAACCTCCCGTAATAAGTTGTTCCATGATTTTGCAAAGGAGATATATTTCGAGCGCACCAACTCCCTCCGGTCATCAAGCATTCCTTGGTTGGTCAAATCGTGTCCTAGTTTTGCGCACAGGATTATTTTTGTCCCGTCAGATGAAGTCAACTTCTGACCGTGTGCATGTGAAGATACTTTAACCTGGATTTGTGTGAACGTGGCTCTATATTCAGCCGTTTCCAGAAAGGGATGCGCCATTGCCCGTGGCTCCCTTTCCACATAGGATGCCGCCAATACGACATGGATATGTCGACGGCAGTTTACAAAAGGAGGGATTGCCACTGGTTCAACGCGAGCTCATACCACAGTTACTTTCGGCATCCCCCCAGATTCTCTTTTGTAGCTCGAGGAGATAGGGGCAGTTTGTAAATCCACCGTCAGCTCACCCCTCCCCATGGACTTTTGAAATAACATAAATTCATGCTAGGACAGTACATTGGCTAATTCACAACTGTTAACCAAATGAATTCACTGTAAACCTGGAGATTTGTTAGGCCTTAGTCTGATTAGTTATATCCTTATCGGTGTTGGCGAAAAAACAAAGATTATCCAAAATGGAAGGAAATATGCATCTCCCAAATTATTGCCGTAAAAAGCGTGAAGCCGCAATCACTGGAAAATGAATGTATTGACCCTGGCCTTCAGTCTAGTACGGGAGGCAATCATCAGAGATTGTAAGAATGTGACATTAATTGTGCTGTTTCCTTAGTCAAACAAAGAGGAAAGGGGTGAGACTGAAGTAGGCGATGTTCGTTATAAGGCTAAGTCCACGATGTCTCACGATTTCCTGACGGCACGCCTCCTTGCCTAGGAATTGAGGCGCACCTGTTGTACGCGAGGATTATGCAGATGATAACGGGAGCTATGTCGGCGTGTCTGTTAATGAAATCGATTTAAGGGAATAAGGCATTCAGCAGTTCGGAGGCCATCCCGTTTTTGGGGTGCGTCATCATCTACGTGCTCTGAATTCTGAATTCGTGGCCTTCCGCAAGCATTTTTGTTTCATGTGCATCCTTGCTGGAGAGGAAATGTCGAATAAAATACAAATACCTATGCCGCAGCGCATAGCTCAGCATGTAAAGGTTAGACAATTATATAACGATGTTAATTGAACGGACAAGGTAAAGTGAGGTTTGTTTGTTTAATAAAACAAATTTCCAACATTCATGCATTCAAAAACAACCTAAGCCCGAGCTTGTAGAATAGTTGTCGGATGAGATTTTACAGACTCTTGTCAGGCTCTGGGGTGGTTTATCTAAGAAGTCTTCCTATCGGCTACGTCTTTAGACCATGTGAGTGTCATGGTTGTCACGGCTATACGGTAGAAAAGGGTTGAGAAATACATTCCCAATGAACTGGAATTCTCAGTTGTCCGCTGTCTCGCGATCCTAACTTTACTTTACTGATCGAAATGCTTTCTAGCCCCTGAGCCATTAAAAGTTTAGCTAATGTGTCTAATACGATATGGCTTCTGTCATATAGCCGGTTTCATAATACTTTTCCTGCGATTATCCATCCAATCCTTTGGTTGCTTTTGAATGCAATGAGAATAGATTGTGTGAAATGCTAGACTGGGCTCAGAAAGGATATTTTCAACCTTTGGTCGCCGTTAAAAAAGGAAAATTGTTCGCTGAAAAGTTACATTTTTGGAAGCGAAACTGACTCTGGACTAACCGTTTTCGGGAGCTTTAATCGTATCAAAACAATTTTCTTCCTTGGTAATAAGGTTGTCCACGTGGGCCTTCGTTCTTGGTTGTATCATGTCCGCCGTGGACGCGTAGGTTCCCGTGTTTTAGATTTCCTACTTTATCTATCCGCAACTTTGGCGCTATAATTTTGTACCTTATCTTAATGCTATTCCGCAGTTGTTGACTTCGTTCCGGCAAAAATTATCACCGTTTCCTCGCAATTTGAGTTTAATTTTGTAATAACAAATTAACAACCAATTTCGGTCCCACGAGATTGTATATATTCTGATTTATTGTTTGTAGATGTTCTGCCAGTGTTATCAAAAGTAATTGCCGCTTTCGCTCTCAGTCGAATAACCGGGCTCCTTGCCGTCTCAAGAAACTGGCATTACACGATGTTAAGGCTGATCTCCTACTGCCTATGTACTCGTGTATGGCAACCATCCATTGACGCCATTTTGTTAGTCTGCGGCTAATTTTTTATTTTCTGACTGGTCAGCGGTTGGCAAACACACTAGCTCGTCCTCACGAATGTCGTCAGTGGCATGCCGAACGCGTGTTCCGTACGGAACAATGCACCGGTAAGCCGCGCGGGCTTCCCGCCGTCTAGTAAGGGGACCTTCCTAGCGGAGTAGACTGCAGGGTACCTGAAACCCCAACATTGTCAAACGTGTTATTAGCACTGATTGTGCGGCCTGAGCCAGTCTGATGCCGAGTACGTGGCCACTTAGCCACTAGCACTGTGCAATAACGGTCGGTGTTTTGTTATCGCACACACCGGGCACTGCAACTTATTAGTTAACATGCAGAAATTTTTCATGCATTTGAAGGTCCGGAAACTGTCGCGTACCTAATTCGTCCTTTTATCCACTTTGTCTAGGATGGGAAAGAATACACAGAGCGGAACCATGGTCGTAAATAAACAAAGCCAAACCTCTTCCTCAAAACTGTAAAGAGCGTAATCCCGGCTGTATAGCGTATTCACTGTGTACAAAGTTTAGAAGTGGCGGGCAACGAATGTCGAACTTATTTCACACCAAACTAACTACGTAGTCCCGAAGCCAGCCGAGTGTGAAGGCGTACATTTCCCGAAAATCAGCGATTAAGACTTGTTCAGGTGTTTCGGGTGCCGTAGATCATATTTCTTCGGCCACTACGTTAGTCATCGTGAAAATCTCGCCTCCACGTAGACTGTTTTGCTTGCCAATTCCTATGATCTGCTACCTTATTTTCGTTCCTAGCGTGACTTTGGCCAGACCTGGTTCCCTCCCAGCGGATGAGGTCATCTATGACAAGGAAAAGGGCACTAAGACCGTGATCACTTATGTTGATGATGAAGATGAGGGCCAAATATACAAGGAGACCAAAGAGTATACCATCGAAACCATAAAAGTGGCCTCTTCAATTGCAAAAAGACGGTTATGGAAAAAGTTTGGGGAATCCAAACACGATCCTCCCGGTCCAAACCCCGCAAACACTTATCCCGGAGAACTTGTTGAAATTCAATATATCCAAAACAAATTGGTACGTGTGTAACATAGGGTTCCTCTTGCTTCCAGGTCGAATTTCTCTCACTTTCTACTGTTTGCGTTTTTTTTCCTCTCCACCTACGTGCGTTTTCTTATAATTCGCCGTGACAGCCCGAGTTGCGACTCGCTTCTGTTTTGTCCACAGGCAATGACGCCTGACACGTCATATGTAGTGTTCTCTAAGTCAGCCCTTAGGTTGCGTTTTGATTGGGGTAAGTGCTCGCAATTTACTTTGGCATATCGTTTGATCTGAAGGGCGGCCTACATAGCGACCCCTATATAAAGAAGTCCGACTTACGTCTCAGCTGGGCTGAGCTGCTCACCCAATTAGTCCTTATCCAACTGTTTCTCCATACTTTCTGGTCAGTCAGATTTAACTATGGGGTCTTTATCTCATCAAGGTTAAGAATGTGGAGCCACTTCACTTACTTCGAAGCCGCAAATCATTCTTGTTTGTTTTCCATTGTTCTTTGTTTTAACTTTTAAAACATTTCCCTTCTCTCCAAAACAGGCCGAAGAGAGCGACCGTTTGGAGAAGGAAATTGCAAAACCCAAGCAAGCCGTCACTTGTCGTACCTGCAAGGGTGCTCATTTCTCTCATCAGTGTCCAAACAAGAGCGATCTTGAGGCAATTCTGGCTTTACAGAGCAAATTTCAAGATCCCGCAGTCGCCGAGGCTGAGGAAAAAGCTAGAGTATGTTTTCTGGTGGTCGATTATGATACTATGCAATCAGACAAAGCCCACATTGCCAAGTTTATGCCATTTTATTTCCCTCCTTCAGGTTTTACATAATCTCGAAGTCCTGTCTTCTCACCTAGTGACTGTCTTTTAAACTTCAGCTCGCAGCCGCTGGTCCACTCCCGGTCATTCCTGACGCCTCTAGCGGCCGTTACATCCCTCCGGCACTGCGTGCCGGTGCCGCTCCGATCGCAATGCCGAGTCGAAAGCTCCTCGATGGCTACAGTATCCGTGTCACCAACTTGCCTGAAAACACAAATGAGGACGATCTGCGCGACATCTTTGGTCGTTTTGGTCAGGTTATCCGCATCTATCCTGCGAAGAACAAAAAGACTCAACTCAACAGAGTATGTTCAACTTTTGTTCATTCCTACAGACCAAGTGGTAGACAGGGAGTATGTCTGCCTACCTTCTCCTGTGTAGCCTTCTCCGATCTGCTCAACTGTAGCTTAGTTGATCTGGCAGAAGCGATAAAGGCTTATACTGAAAGACCGAACCTCAGAGTCCAGGCAGGCAAGCAAGCTGTCTGGATGCCGGTTGTCGGTGACATTCTGCTTTTCTCACCACGATAATGTTGCGCAAGTTTGTACCAGCTCGCAACGTTTCGCCACCCCCCCCCTTTCGTGTTTGAAATTCCTCAACGTAAACTTCCACATAATCTCAAAATCCAAGGATTAGCACCCGCACTCTGATCGCGTTGTTGCAGTATTTCTTTAATTGTCCGCAACATTCCACACTGACGAATTTATCTTAGCGGGGAGGTTCGGATAAACCCATTTGAAAGGAACCTTTGCTTCTGCGCACAAGGGATGTCTAATTCATATAATTCCAAACGAGCCAGCAAAAGTACAATTGAGGTCTTTTATACCCGACTTGTCAGATTTAAAAAGTTCTCCATCTGATTGCCGTTTTCTGTTTGCTTTTTTGTGAATCGGTATTCGCTTCTGCCGACCTTTTTCGTAAGTCACCAGTATAAGCGCTTAGGGAATATAGTGTGGGGGAGTCGACAAGCTGAATAATTTGCCTTGGTGCGGCCGCATTTGAGCCCATAATATAATAAAACATATCCTTGACTGACGGCCTAGGCTGCAGAAGAGAGACGTCGCTCCATTACAAGGGATAGTTTTGGGTTTAATTTGCCTGGCAAGTTGGCAAAACTGGTTGAATGATCCGTTTATTACATCGTCTGATTTGTTGTTGATCTTTTCCTATTTTCTAGGGCTTTGCTTACATTTCCTACATGACGGAACAGGAGGCCGCGGACGCCATTTTTACCGCCGATGGCATGCGTTACGGCCACCTTATCCTCAAAGTCGACTGGGCTCAGTAAGTTTTCATCCGGGACTCATCATTGATGCTTAACCTCGATCAACACTTTGATAAGCAGACTGATTTTGGCTTCCGTGTCGACTTTACCGCATCGTAAAAGTTTCCGCAGGTGTCATACTGCATCGCCAGGGGGAGAAATTAGTAATTTGTAGTCCCGACTGTCCGTTGTCTGAATTCTCGCGTTTGCATAGCCTGCGTGGCAGTCTGCATGATTCAAAAACACTTCCCTCTGGAGCTTCCATCGTGCCCTAAGTCCGTCCATGCTAGAGGAATGAACACACTTACCCAGTCTACATCATTTTCTGTTGTGCAGCACGATAGACTAGCAATTTCTGAAGGCTGGAGATCTTGAATGTTGCTGCCTTTGCATACTTTCCAATCGCATGCGCATAGACTGGCCGCCACTTATTGTGCTTCCCCCTGCTGCACCCTCAAGAATGCTGCGTTAATTGGATGACCTTGGATTGCAGAAATACTGGTATCAAGAGGTGCTTCCGAGAGGTTTTCCCCCTTACACACCCGACCATGGGCTTCAAATTGAGCAAACCGGGCTATATTTGTATCTGAAGTGAACCAAACTTTCTGATCGTTTTCACGTAAATGAACGATCACCGGGATGTCTGGAAATTCGATCGACTGCCTCTCGTAGTCGTCCTCAGCAAAAGTTGCTTATGGCCTCGTGCTTGGCGACTGCAGATAAGAAGAAGATGCGATCACTGGAACGAGAAGTTTATTGGCCTGACGTTTCGGATTCTCACTCGAACCCATCATCAGAGGCGGTTGCGGATAAAGGTCCTTGGAGAAGAAACCTGAGCTCGCAAGGTCCGCTGTCGCTGATCATCACAAGTGGTGACACGATCCGCCGCATTGATAGCATCATGCAGGTCAGATTGGTACCCGCCGTATCGAGTGCATTAAACCCACGCTCGCGTGACCATGCGTCTTCTGGAACCGACCCTGATCAAACATGAAGTCTGGCTGCCAATAGGGGGAAGTCAACGGTCTCAAGGGTGGAGGCATTGTTGGGCCAGACGTGCAGAATTCGATGGAATTTAGAAAAATCTGTTGTTTTAGTCAACCCCTAGCCCACAAGTGAGTAGGCGCATACACAATCAAACTATCGAAAATCCGGCTTAAGGGGGTAGCCGTGAGAAGTAGGCCATCCGCCTTTCCAGTCTTAACAAAAAGCTGACCGGAGCGGATTGTTATTTCCTGTTGTCAACATGACCTGACTTTCGTCGCGTTTATATTTGATGTGCTGTTAGAACTGCAAAGCTTACTGCTTTCTATGTCTTTTTTAGACCCTCAAACAACTGAACATCCGGTGACTCACCGCATCCCTCCTTATCTTGTATGTCCAGTTACTTCCTGTCAATAAATTCCTGCACTATCTCTTGGCACATCAGTAGAGGCCCTGTGGACGGAGTAGTTCACATTTAACGCTTTCCCCACCCAATTTCGTTGCACTTCCGCGCTACTGCTTCCCTTGCTTCTGGGCTCTCTACCCTCGCACTGCAGCGATTGCATAATGAACCAGAAGAGGAATCTGTCTCTGTAGTATTCGAATATTCCTCTCATCTTCGATTTTCATAGAGAGGAAAACATAAACGAGGATTAGGATTGAGAGGGAAAAGGGTGGAGAGAATTCGAACATGATCTTAGTGAGTTGGTTTGGGGCGGCTTCCTTGGTTACCGGTTTGGGGGATGGGGGCGTTCCAAGCATACACAAAAACAGAGGTCGTTTCGCCCGGGGGGGGGAGGTCGCTAACAGGATGGGCGCTCTGTAGTCGTGGCACGAGAGTTATCTGATGGCGCCTCTGGCCTATTGTCGTTGCTCCTATCTGGGTTAAGTAAAAATACGTGTGTATATACAGGGGAATAGGGGAGCAAGTTGCTCGGGGCAGGGATTGTTGAGGGAACACAAATATTATATTCACAACCGCGAGGATGTGGCGGCACTAGAGTCCTCACCTGACTGCACTAAGGCACGTTGTTTCTTGCAGCTCTTCGGTTCGGGCGTCGGGTGACCTCTAATCACACAATTGTCCGGTAAAGGCGGAGCTGGGATGGGCTGTATTGTTAGACTACATGGGAAGAGAGGGGAGTGTCATGACTGTTGGGCACATGGGGTCATTGCGCAGTTGATTGGTGGGTTTGCTGTGGGGAGTCTGAATGCTTCTGCCAGGGCTTCAGATCGGGACGATGGCATCCTAAAACCAAGGCGAGGAACATTAAGCGCAACATTAGTGTACATTGTTATCATACCCGACCTCAACCGACAGAACGACGGGTCCCCGTGGCTCAGGAGTCAGGGTTTCGGACTTCTAACCAGGGGCTGCATATCTCGGGTTGGGGTTTGCTAACTGACGACGGCTAATAAGCCAGAAATGACCATTCCAGTCTTCCCTTGTGTTTGTCGGTAAAGCCACAAGCAACTGTCCAGGTCTCCCTTGTTTTTAGAGCTGTTCCTGCCTACGAGGACTCTGAATTGAACTCCAAGAAGTAACGGAGCGAGTACGCCCTGTAACCTGATCGAGGCACGCCCTCCCATAGTAACATAGCATATAAACAGCTTAAATAAATTGCAGGTTTCAAGGTCCCAACAAACTATTGGCCTAAATGCATGCGTTATGACAACGAGCCTGTGCGATCAAAGAGGGGGGTGGGTGGGAGGGGTGGACAATAGAAGCCAACAGCTAGTCGAGTCTTTGTCAAATTTCGCAAATCTAGGCACCCTTACCTGTGTTGTTCCGACAAAGCCTTAAAGTCCGCTGACATCTTCTATCGTCATCACTAAGACATACACTGCACCTCAGCCTCCCCTTACTGCCTGCGTCTCGGTGTTTGACCAAGCATTTTTAATAGGTGGTAGTTCACATTTGAGACCCAGCCTATGAGATCGATGTGAACTTTTTACTTAGGACATCTGTTATTTCCTTACCAGAGTCCCTGTCAGAGATATCAGCGAACTAGGAAGACATTCAGAAAGTGATTAACAAACGAGGGCTTCGTAAGTTTTTCGTTTCTCCCAGCCCGGATAAGATGGTTTCCAACGTGCGGGTGATGGCTGTGTTGAATGATTCACGGATGGGCCCTCTGGCTAAAATATCTTGTTTGGATGATTTTATTAAGGTTACTACTGTAACCGACAGCCATCTATGCAGCGCACAGCTCTGTTTCGGAGCTTGAATGAATCAAGATCACAAGTAGGTGTTTGGCGGATCTTGAGTAATTTATTTTGACCAAACTGTGAAAAACTCGGCGATCTCGGTGGGATTCGAGCCCACGACAGCATAGGTAAAGCATGAGCACAGCCACCTGAACGAGGAGGCCTCACCGGGGACCCTGAGTTTAATGGCATTTTGGTCAAGTTATCCGCCCAGCCTATAGCAGCGTATGGAATCTACCAAATCTGACTGTCCAAACAGGATCTCCTAAATCATCCATCCAGAATCCACCAGACGACAATCAGGTTCTGAGGAAAATGAAGTGTTCACCGGATCGAGGGACTTTTTTGGCTGACGGTTCGAAGAACTGGGGTGGCTCTCCATTATCAAAGCGTCTAGTGAAAAATCGATCAGAATTTTGAATAGACGGCCGAATTAGTTGGCCTTGGACTGATCGATTTTTTTTCTTTTGCTGCCTTGGCCTACTGGCCATCGCCTGTGAATGTTGGTGGCCTCCTGCATTGTGTGTCGTCCCCTCAATTGGGGTTAGTTGCGTTTGCGTCCCCCCTTTTGGGTGAATCGGTCGACAGGCCGTGTTTGCTCGGTAGTCTCAGGCTCCGTATGACTGTCTTGCCCTCGTCACGGCATATGTAGTGACGTAGGACTTCATAGGCCGAGGGAAAGTCCAGATACCTGTTCATGGAGATGGCATCTGAGTACCAAGCCTCAAGTGTGAGACGCTCTATCCTTGAGGTGCCCCTGCCTAAGTCGGCTGCTCCTCGAAAATGAAATCTGTGACCAGTTTGCCCGATGTGAGCCGCAAGCTGTGAGTTTGGGCCTGGTCTCCGAGTTGCCAGTTTGTGTTCATGTAGGCGGGTCCGCAATTTCCATCCAGCCAGTAGGCCAAGGCAGCGAAAGAAAGAAAAATAAATCAGCCCAAGGCCAACTAATCCGGATGTCTATTTAAAATTCTGATCGATTTTTCACTAGACGCTTTGATAACGGAGAGACGCCCCAGCTCTTCGAACCGTCAGCCAAACAAGCTCCTCGATCCGGTGAGCACTTGATTTTCCTCAGATTATCGACCCGGACCTCTTACTTTTGCTAATTTGAACAATCAGGTTCATTTGATTAGTAGGTTCGGAGGCCTTTCCACAATGACTGACTGTCGCTTTCCGCCTGTGACATGGAGAGACAGAGCTATTGATCTAGTCATGATCACTTTGCCTGACTAATGCACCGTCCAGAGGGCCTGGCGGAACCG